CTGAAACTACTAGGTTCCGTACAGACTCAACTCTGCACCCGTGTCAATATGTTCATTATATGCAAGCCTCTTGATTTATAATACACACAATAATACGCAAGGATGGACAAACAAGCCGGATTCGAATTGTTCATAAATGACTTTTTGAGGATTCGCCTCAAACGTCATTGTTGGGGAAAAATTAAATTCAACAAAAAAACTGTTAACCTTATAAGTTTATCTTTCAGATATATATAGATGGTATCATATGCGGAATAATTCGCTACGTCAAAGGCAAGAATCCTTATCGGATCGACTGTGGCACGAAACAAGCAAGGAACATAAAGATAGTCAAACAATTTACAAACAATTTCGATGACATGGCATTAATGATTTGTGAAGTGGAAGTGTTCTCTTTAAATCCACCAGGTAAGGTACTTACACCATCTGAAAATCAAAAATTGTACATCATACCGCTAAACAAAATATTGGGAATATTTCATCACTCATATTCGTACCATTACAAAGAGTCCCTCCTAATAGTTGAACACTGATTTAAGGGGGAGCCGGGAAGCGGGGGAGGGGATTCGCCCTAAATCAGGCACCGATGGGCTGTTAGGGTCCGGGACTGCCTCAACATGAACAGTTCGGTCACATGTCCTAGTTTGTTGGTCAACAAACTATCTTGAAAACATGTGTTACACAAAATCAGGACGAACCCCTCCCCCTGAGTTCAATCAATTGTTTTCAGAAATTTGTCGGGGGTTTGATATAGAGCACGGGTCAGTGTTTCCGAGTGAAGTTATTGATGGCAGTTCGGTAACAGTTACGTGCGACAAAGGGTTCAGAGTTGATGGAGACTGGAAGCTGACATGTAAAAATGGTAGTTTGCATGGTGAAATCAGTGATCTTATCCCTAAATGTGTTCGAATAGAAAATGGTAAGTTCTTGAATTGACACGTACTTAGTGACGCTGATAGTGATGTACACATAATAAGTATTAAAACTCTAATATACTTTATACAACAATCAATATAGAACAATTTCTAGTTAGTTAAATCAAAATAATGACTTTTGACCCTTTTCAGATGACTGCCATGTCCAAAATATCGGTGGTTTCCTCAAGTCAGTCTGTCAAGATACCAGCAAACTCACAATAAAATGTGCAAACTCGGACAATTTCTATGACATTCTAGAGGTTGACCATGATGGGACTACTGTAAGTGAAGTATGTGAAAAGGACCCCAAATTCTATCAAGTCTGTGGTTTAGGTGATGATCGCGGTATAAAGACTGGAAGTTTACTCTGTGGGCAGTTCATTTGTGAAAACGAAAGTAAAAACAAGAGTAGTTTTTGCGAGAACGTTAAATCCTGTTCAAACATCCAGATAGAAGACATCTGTCAAGAGCAGTCTGGATCGCAAGAATGTGATAAAGTCTGTGATGAAGTTAACTGCAGAGACGAATCAATATGCAATGGTTTCAGATATGGGAAGTTCTGCTATATGAACGGTGAATCATGGAAAGCGTATTACAGTGTTTTAGGCATCAGTTCGGAATTGTGGCGTGACTCGATGTATAACTGCAGACTCTGGGAACCCTATGTTGGCAGAGAAGAGTACCTCGATGGAGACTCCGGGCAAGTTTGCAGACATTCTGTTTCGGGATTGACAGTTCCAATATTCAACTTTACACGTTGCGCAGCCTTGGAGTACAGCCCTTCTGTTGTAGCCAATCCCAACGAATGGATAGTAAATGCCAGTAAAATTACCTATTGTATAAACATGATGGATCAGACAAACTGCACTGACTTTTCCAGGGTAGGCATGTCCTGCGAAGTAGGTGGCTACAAAAGTAACATTTCAAAGCAAGTCATCTGTCATGGTAAGTCTGATGTAAGAATCTGTGATGATGGAATGGAGAATGAATGCAGGCAACTTTCACCCTCGTGTTTCATACACAAACACAAACTCTGTGATGGAATAATCGACTGCACGGACAACAGCGATGAAAGATCTCCCGAATGCCTTGATAAGACAGATGTAACCTGCGTTAGAGTTCTGGGAAATGACAGTCTTCCAATACCACTGATATGGTTGGGTGATGGGATATCAGACTGTCGGTCTTCAGTTGATGAACAAACAGTTTGGCCAACATGTGGATCAGGTTCAACTAAAAGATTCGTAATCAACAATGAGTCTTGCACTGATGACTTCTTGTGCTTGAACAGTGAAATACAGTTTGTTCCTCTGAAGCAACTATGTGACATGGTAGATACTTGCGGAAATGAAAACAAAATCTGCAAGATTTCAAGAGACAACAGTGAGTTAACCACGAATATGATACATTATGGAAAAAGAAACGAACGGTTGATTCCTTACTGCTTGAAGGGTCTTGACGATTTACAGAATTTGACAGAGCAATGCAAGAATACAATATTCACATTTCCTGCAGAGAAAACCTTTGGAAAGGACAACCAAAAAATCATAACCATGCCAGGGCAGCCGATGAATTGTGATTTTACTTTCGGAGAAATGTACGTTTATACAAGTTGTACTGGGAACTGCCTAGACTCAGTTTGTCCTTTATCCAGACCATTGAGGTACGATTCTTGCAGTGGCCAATTTACAGATAGAATCTACACCGTCACAAACATGGAATACCTCACATTTGTCAGTCCACAGAGAGGTTCGTATCACAATGACTACTTCCTTTGTAAAAATAACGGGTGCGTGGCGTATGATAAGGTGTGCGATCTAGTGGATGATTGTGGGGATTGGTCTGACGAAGAAACTTGCACAAATCAACTTCGTTGCAAGTCATCAAACACAAGTATTCCAAAGTGGCAAAAGTGCGACGGCCATATAAACTGCGAGGACTTAACTGACGAATGTAATTCTGAGTGCGGAAAAGAGATTATCGAAGGGCTTCTCCTTAAGATTTCTTCATGGGTCATTGGCTTCTTGGCCGTAACTTTCAACAGTATCATAATTTTCGTTTCTCTGATATCTATAAAGGAAGTTACTACCAGTATGGGACTCCTGAATAAGGCGTGTATCGGATTGATAAGTCTAGGGGATTTTCTAGTTGGATGCTATCTCTTTACAATATCTGCATTTGACGTGAAATATGGATCATCGTACTGCCCTCAACAGACGGAATGGCGTAGCAGCTATTATTGCTCCATTCTTGGTATCGTGAGCACCATAGGATCACAAATTTCCTTGTTTGCTATGACATGCTTGAGCATTGCAAGGCTATTTGGCATAAAGAATGCCATGAACATGTCCAGTGGTTTATCTTGGAAATCCTGTAGTAAAATTGCAGTGGTATTACTAACTATTATTACTGCATCCGTTGGCATCGCTGTTACACCTATACTGCAACAATTCGAAGACTTCTTCGTGAATGGCATGCAATATGAGGCAACAAACCCCATTTTTGTGGGACTACCTGATAAAGAGGTTCATCACCAAGTTATCCAAGCTTACTATGGGAGAACAAGAGGAGACCATTCTTCCATTGGTTGGAAAATAACTTTAGAGTTGATAGATGACATGTTCTCTAAAACATATGGAGGGTTGAATAAGAGAAAGGTAGATTTTTACGGAAACGACGGAGTGTGTATGTTCAAATTCTTTGTCACAGACGGAGATCCACAGAAGATCTTCACATGGACAATCCTTGCTGTCAATTTCTTCTGTTTCTTCTTCATCTCCGTTTCCTACATAATCATAAACATCATGTCTCTAAAATCGGGCAAGACGATGAAAAACAACCAGCAAATCAACGACCGCAACAAAAAAATGCAAAGAAAGATCTCCATCATCATAGCAACTGACTTCTTCTGTTGGGTCCCCTTCGTTCTGGTATGCTGTTTACACTCCCTGTCCGTCTTGGACGCTACTCCTTGGTATTCCCTCTTCTCAATAGTGATTCTCCCTATCAACAGTGTCATCAACCCTCTACTTTACGATACAATTGTAACCAATATCCTTATGAAGCCTGTTAAAAGCATCAAGCGCTCTTTTACTCGGATCGCTTCACTGAGTTCCAATTTTAGATCTATTAGTGCTCAGCCTGATAAAGAAGAAGATGCTGGGAACTCTAAGCAGTCCGGTTCTAATACAACTTCTCCTAATTCGTTCATTAGCAAGTTTCTCAGAGTCAAAAAATCAGTGCCTTGTAGCACTGGAACAAATTACAGGGTAGCTGACCTTAGCACAAAGGAAAAGGAAACTGAATTATAGCTTGTTATAGCTCCCGGTTACATAGCTCCCGGTTACATAGCTTCCGGTTACATAGCTCCCGGTTACATAGCTTCCGGTTACATAGCTCCCGGTTACATAGCTTCCGGTTACATAGCTCCCGGTTACATAGCTCCCGGTTACATAGCTTCCGGTTACATAGCTCCCGGTTACATAGCTCCCGGTTACATAGCTTCCGGTTACATAGCTCCCGGTTATAAGAACACTTCTCTAGAGACGACTACTAGAGCTTATAGTGATATGGAAATAACTTTTTCTGCCTCGAAACAGCACGGTGAACAGGATGTCCGGGGAAAAAAGAAAACATGAAGAACTGGCGTTGAAACCTCTCCAGCAACTTTGAAAATTTGTGATGATGTATTATATTTCAACTTTACGAACATTATGGATTGGCTTTAGTTATAGCGATGATCTTAAGTCTACACAGTAATGATGATTAAAAATTACAAACTAGAGAACAGTGGTATATATTATACAGTTTTAAATAATAATGGCGTTGTTTTATGCGATCGAGTATCTATATACAGTTTTATGTTATGCTGAGGTTGCTTTATGATATTCAGTATTTATCTAAGGTTTAATGTATGATCAAGTATTTTATGAGCTGATGTAATTTTATGATAACCCTTCAAAACAATATTGTTTGAAATGTTCACCTTATAAGAACCTAACTTACTCACCAATCGCGTTCTGTAAACCAGAGCAAAATTTTAACTGTTTGATAGATCAGGTAATACAGCAACAAAAATGTTACCTTTTCCATATTCTCAGTGTATTTCTCCTGAGCAGAAGCAAGAGCTGACAGGTTGTTTGCTTCAGCTGTGGCTCTTAGCATTGTCATTGGCTCTGGCAGGGTGTCTTGTTGGTAGATCTCCACGTAGCTCTGATTAAATTGATAGAAATAGTATCATGGCTTATGAAGACTAGCACGACGGCATGTCAGTAAAAAATATGGTGATGAACGAACATCAACATCCAAATAAATCAGAAAAACGACAAAATATTTCAGCATGGCTATAAAAAAGATTAAAAATTAATTTAAAAAACTAACCTTGAAATAATGAAGTAAATCTTTGCCCTTCAATGTCTGACCATGAATCTTCTTGGACTGCAACGTTTCCTCGTGTAAGTAGTAAGGTATAAGCTTCTCTATCCCACTCGCAAAATCACCCTCCATATCTGCGCGGTAGCAAGATAGTAACACCAAGCCAGTTAATAATAATTACAATTTATAAATTAACTCTTCTTCTTTACAATGTTTATTAACAAGCTAGTTAATAATAATTACAATATATAAATTAACTCTTCTTCTTCACCATGTTTATTAACTTTGCAAAATGGTAACACCAAGCCAGTTAATAATAATTACAATTTATAAATTAACTCTTCTTCTTCGCCATGTTTATTAACTTTGTCCCATTATAAACGAGGTTAACGTTTGATGGCAACCACCCATAAAACCGTCTAGTCAGAAGTACATCTACATGTATCTCAGCAGTAGTATTTCATGTATCTCAGCTGATTAAAAGTGTAAAAAAGTGCTCATTAATGCAGCTCACCTGCTAATCTGCCAGTGAACTGAGGTTTAGAAGCGACAGTTCGGCCGGGGTATGGGAGCAGGAAACATCCCACATCGGCAAAACAGTTGGTTATGTGGTGACGTACCTCCATTAGCTCTTCGTGCTGGTTTTCTGATACCTGAACAGAGTATTTAATTAATTAGGTAGAGTATTTAATTAATAGACAGAGCACTTAATTAATGGGTGATATTTCAAGTGCTGCTAGAGCTCTGTTTTTGTCGATTGATGGGATAAACGATTTTTGCCAGCTAATTTTGAAAAGGACGACGCGCGTTTGTCAGCGCGAAATGCTAGGTAATTTTAATACAATTTTGTCATGGCGGCTTACTGCACTGCGCCAAAAAGCTTTACAAATCAATCTTGTGGAGAAAATGACGATGCCAATTATAATGACGATATGCAGAACGATGTGATGGCAAGTTGCCACAAATTCTCAGTTTGAAACTTACAGCAAGTATTTTGTTCAAGTAGTTCTTTCCACCAGAAGCTCCCAGTTCAAACTCGTATTCAAATGCCCAATCTCTGATCAGAAATTCTAACCTCTGTAAATTATATGTTGATAGAAGTTAATTTTGGTGAGGAGCTTTCACGTCTCAAGAAAATATGCCCCCCCACCAGAATCCACATCTACAAAACTCGCCTTGGTAAGATATTATCAGAATACTGATTAAACCATAAAGTGTAGATCAACTTTATCAATAAAATCATTATGACGTGTAAGAAAAAGTGTTGTCCAACCACACGTTTCCTGGAAGTCAGACAAAAATCTGAAAAAAAAAGAAGTTTAAATATATAATTTAGAATATTAAGCTAACTTGGAATGGCTTGCATTTTGAGTCGTCACTATCGTCCTGCATGGCCAATCTACCGTAATCAGTAAATAGGTGAAGGTGCTGCAAATCATCCTCGCTAATTTGCTGAAACACGTTATTATCCAATTAAAAAGGTTATCATCCAATTAAAAAGGTTATTATCCAATTAAAAAGGTTATTACCCAATTGACGATAAATTATAAAATAATTTCAGCTAGAAATTATTAATTAAGAAGAGTAATTCGGTAAGACTGTAGAACACAATACAATTTTATACTCTAAGCGGTGGTTACAGTACCACGTTAAATTCCAGATAAGTCAAGATAATGTAAAACAATACACCCAAATTTAGCATTTATACATTGTTTTCAAATACAAGGACTGTACATTTAATGATATCAGTGCACTGTTTCGGCAGCAGATATACTCCAATCTGGAATACAATACCTTGCTCTATTACAGTATTACTATTACTATTACAGTATTACAGTATTACTATAGCTCAGTTAGTATTGGTAATTACAACTAGCGGTACTGTATTGGACAGTAGAAATACGTTGTAATACAGCAACTGTTCTATTAGCTGATTGTTGTGTATACTACATTATCACGATAATTAAGCGGCAATCAGAATTCCTAACATACCGCGCTTAGTTATACAGTAAGATAATACAACTGGTAGGCTGGTGATAATACTAGAGAAATGTTACCATACTAACATAACAGCATACATTACACGCAGTTTAGAATTACGATCTTTACTCTCTATCTTTATGCATCCAGACATTAAGTCTCTGGTTTTAATGACACAGTACATTGTACAACAAATACACTGTATTGTTGTATATGCTAGCCTGACACGTGCACAGACACGTGACAGACACGTGACAGACACATGTACGGAAGTGTATGTAACGCAGTGTACGTGATACGTAACCATTAAACTCATGTGTTAAATCGTATTGTCTTACTCCCTTACATTTACATATTGTAGCAGATTTGAAACATAAGACACCATATTTTGCAGCTTGTGCCTAGTACCAGATAACATATTTTTCAGCTTGTACCAGATAACAAGTTAAAAGTAAAAAGAAGAGCCTACTAAGTGTAAGGAAACCAACAAGTTAAATCGCTATATTATTATTATAGCGTACAACAGTGTTATTAACAAGGCGGGATAGGGTGTGGCCCTCAGGGGATTTCAGTCTTATAGCAGTCTTGTAATTACAGTTTAACCACGATTTACCGTGCACTTTAACACGCAAACCACGCTTTATACATTATAGTTATACATTATAGTTATACATTTGTCTTTTATAGTTTGACCTTTTGTATAAGTAATAGAGTACATTGCACTTAACCTATAAATATATCATTGATTGTATGAGATATTATACATTTATTGGTATGCAAACGCCTTTTAAAATCTTTTAGATTTAGGTACCACAAGACGGAAAAAAAGTTAAACCGTCGTAAATGGACCACCAATATTTGATAAATCGAATAGTTGAACAATAGAATGATAGCCTCTAATTAGCCTATAATAACCTTCTAATTAGCATCTAATTACTCTCTAATTAGCGTCTAATTACCTGGGAAATGTTGAAGATCTGTATGCTACTCAACATAGTCGATAGAGCAAATATCGTGGCGCTATCTCTCACAATTGCCTGGTTGTCGAATGTGCCCTGTGTATCCATCAGCAATATAGCTACCTGTGTCATTTGTTAATCAGCAATATAGCTACCTGTGTTATTTGTTAATCAGGGTAACACATTTCAATCATATTAGTTATTACTCGCACAGTTCGCTATTATATCGTACAGTTGTTACTTTACACCTGTTACTAATGTTTTGACAGGGTTCTGACTTATTAATACCTAAAATAGTTCTCACTATTACTCAATCGATCAATACCATTGCAAATTGTCAAAACGATTATAAAAATGGTTCGATTTCGGAGCCATTATATGTAATTATATGTAATGGTAGTTGTTCTAGTGGCAGTGGTTCACACTCTGTTGATATCTCTTTAATGAGACTTGATTGAGGCCTCTCAACTTCCCTAGTTGAGTGTGTCCCACAACCAAGCTCATTGCCTAGAAGTCCTGCATTATTATAATGCACCTGGACATATGTGGCATGTATAAGCTCTCTAAACCAAAACCAAAACCAAAACCAAAGTTGTTCTAGACCAACCTTCTCTCCAGTGTTAGGGTTAGTTCTGATGAAAGGCTGGCCCCAAATCCAGATACCACTTGTTTCCCTGTTAACATTATAGGGTTAAGTGGGATTACAATTAGACATAATTAATATTATATAGAAAATGAACTGTTAACATGGCAACTAATTACTAAACTATGGATGCCTCGTCAAACTGACCAGTTAGTACCCCCCCCCCCCCCGACCCCACTACATACCGGTTAGTGCTCCCCCCACTACTTACCTATTAGTGCCCCCCCCCCCGGCCCCACTACTTACCGGTTACCCCCACTACTAACTTATTAGTGCCCCCCCCCCCCCCTCAAACTGACCGATTAGTGCCCCCCACTACTAACCTGTTAGTGCCCCCTCCCCACTACTAACCTGTTAGTGCCCCCTCCCCACTACTAACCTGTTAGTGCCCCCCCCCCCCCCCCCCCGGCCCCCACTACTAACCTGTTTGTGCCGCCCCCCCCCCCCCCACTACTAACCTGTTAGTGCCCCCCCCCCCCCCCCCCACTACTAACCTGTTCGTGCCGCCCCTCCACTTGAACCCAGTGAGGTCCTCTTCAGGATCCCCCATCCACCCTGACCGGCCCTCACAGGTCAGGTAACGTAAGATGAAGTCTAGCAGGAAGGATTTACCTTTCCTGAACGCTCCTGATGAAATTAGTTAGTGAAATATGGTGATTGTATTATATTTTAAATATTTTTACAACTGCAATTAAATACATCTACTGAGGATTGTTATTAATGTATGGGATGGACACGTTTTAACCAGGGGTAGCTAGCTCCTTGATACGGAGAATTTTTTTCACCTAGATGAAAAGCTAGAATAAGAATTATCTGGTAGCTGTTTTATCAAATTATAAGTTCAAGAAAGGAATAGCGGAGTAACCTCCGCTTACATGGTTAATGTATGCAATTTGTAAAATATACAGTGACAAAAATGGCCAATAACATAATTTTATAATCACATTTCGAGTGCGATGTGATGAGTTTATGACCAAGCAACGTCTTTCTATTATAATATATTACGAAACGGTATTTTCAAGTACCATGTAAATTTTTTTTACAACAATTATTATTATTAAAAGTTGGGAGTTTCTGAATCATTCGAGTTTATAATTAACCGTAATTTCTGTTCAGGATGCTTCAAGAGTTATAACTTTATAATCCCTATAATGAAATTATTCCCTTCAACAATGTAATAATCTTAAACTTATTTATGTCAGAAAAATTCGAGAGAAATTTATAAATCAGCCTTGAAAGTATTAAAAGTTAGTCCGGTAATTCTACACATCTGAAGGAACTACATATTATATATTGTAGGTTTAGATGCTTGAAATTTGACTCATCTTGAGATTTACAGCATATTATATTCAATAAATTAAACTGTTACATTTCAGTGCAATGATAAACACAGTGACACTAACTATGTACTTAATCTACCGTTAGTTAATAGTAATAATATATCATAGAAATAAAGTATGTGATGTTACGTTTGCGTTGTGTAATATAATTCCGTGTGCTGAAGTTAAGCTATTACAATAGGCTACACACGATATATATGGTAATACTTATCGGCACACTGTAGCACACTGTAGGCACACTGTAGCGGCACACTGTACCTTGTTAATGTAAAATATTGAACTGTTGTAAACTTATTAAATAAAAGTCCTCAACAAGGGGATAGTTAAAAACAACGCCCAAGTCAAATCTTTCCCTAAAAAACAAAATACTAGTCAAACCTTCACTGTAATTTCTGCTAATATCTCTTGTTACTACAAGCTAAATTACGGAGATCATATATCACAGTGTACACAGTACATTGTGTACACAGTACATTGTGTACAATAGTGGGAGGATCACGTGTTTCACTCCAGCAATCATCACCTCAACATTTATTATACTCTCAACATTCACGTGAATAGTGCTTCGTCTTAAGGGAACCTACACTGTACACTGTACAGTGATAAACTGAAAGTTCAAAAGTTTAAAGACAATCAGTTTTGCTAAGTTGTAAGTCACTGTGTTCAATTAAAGAAGCCCAGCTTCTGTTTATAGCCCTCAGAGAACATTTGTCTCATTCAAAAGAATAGTCAATTTCGTGTGGTCAGTTTACCATCTAACATCTAACTAATAGGGCAAGTTAGCGTTAATTAGCGTTAATTAGATTACCTTGAACTATTGTTAGCCACATAATCAAATAACATGTTCATATAACAAATATAGACCACAATTTGACGTATGAATGAAAATCAAAGAGTTAACAGTTTAATCAGAATGATGATGATTTGATTTGAAACTTTTACAAAATAGCAAATATACAAATGTACAGCAAATCGAACAAACATATAAAATGGGCCGAAATGTATAAATGCTATAAAGCGTGGGTCAGTGAAACAAGTTCAGAGGACAACTTTCAAAACACGAGGTTTATGGCCGCCCAAAGTCTCAATAACGTCACCTCCACCTAGTAATAAAATTATGAAATATGAAGTGTGAAACAAATTATGAAATATGAAGTGTGAAACAATCAAGAAATAGCTCGTATATAAATTATAAAATTGTCTCTCAAATACAGATAACGTCCGAAAACTATTAAGATACACAATACTCATTCAAATACAAATACTGATCAGTGTCCGAGAGACATGAACTGCTTCACGGTGGTTTCTTATCACGGCTACAGACTTTCCCGTACCGGATATAGTGGTCGAGATGAGTCTGTTCAACCAGGAGGTGACCGGGACATGATTTTAGGCCTGACCGGGACCGGGACCGGGACCGGGATACAAAATGTGACTTGACCGGGACCGGGACCGGGACCGGGACTGAGATTATCAATTTACCGTGACCGGGACCGGGACCGGGACCAATAATTTCTGGGATTTCTATCTTACCGGGACCGGGACCGGGACCGGGACCAACAATCCAATTTTACCGGGATGACCGGGATGACCGGGATGACCGGGATTTGACCGGGATGACCGGGATGACCGGGACCAAAACTGGTATTCTCATATTGAAAGCTGCAACTTTCATTTACATTATAATTGAACAATTTGAATAAGTAATAACTAGAATATTAAATTAGAAAAAACTAGAAAAAACCCGTCAATATGGGGCATGGGCCTAATGTACTACGTACACCAATAATGTTCATGTACTGATTACTCAAGTTCACCCTCATTCCTCATTCCTCAATCAATGATCCCTCAAATTATTCAACAGTTTCATTCTCCAATTCCAATTGACAATTGGGCGTAGCCCGAGTTGAAAACTTGATGTTAGTTTGCACTTATGAGTTATGTAACGATATTAGTTACCTAAACTCGTTTAGCAATTTTAAACATTGTTTTATTTGGCTCAGAGGTTGTTTAAAGATGAAATTCACAATGAATGAAAGTAAAAACTTAAAATCACAGTGAATGAAATTATGTAAAAGATCCCGGTCAAAATCCCGGCAAATTTGAGTGATTGACCGGGACCGGGACCAAGAATCCTGAATTAACCGGGACCGGGATCATAAATCAGCATTTGACCGGGACCGGGACCGCGACCGGGATGAAAAATGTGACTTGACCCGGTTGACCGGGTCCCTCTTGAGGTTTCTCCCCAATCTCCTCCAGAACTGCGGTTACTAGCGCTGGAAGCTGTTCTCCCTCTTCTTCTTTCAACCCAAACACGATCAGGTTCTTGCTCCTGTCCTCCTCTGCAGCCACACTCTTCATCACCTTCTTCAGGATGTTACTGTTGCAGACCGTACCACTTGCACTGTTCTGTTGTACAGTTGCACTGTAGCTCTTAATCCCTGACTCCACCGTTGTTTGCACTGTCTTCTTAACCGACGTCTTAAACAACTCTAGTTCTTTGTCCTTCTGCACAAGCAGCTGGCCCTGCAGCCTGATCAACTTATCCTTGTCTTCTAACGCTTCCGTCTTCAAGAAATATATGATCTCCTCCATTTTACCCATCTGGCATTCATGCCGTTGAACGAGGTCTATTGCTTCCACAAGCCGAAGTGCCAGATGCTTTTTATAGACAGTTGGAGCCATAAATATTTCTCTGTCCATATCTCCACAAATATCTCTGTCGTCGATTTTCAGTTCTTTTCCCAGCGTAATGAACCACTTAGTAACACTGTCCTTCAATTTTGTCTGTTCATCATACTCGAATCCTTGAATTTGGTCCAGAGATTGGGTCACCTTACGATCATCCTCCATAATGTACTTGTATAGGAATGTACAAGTACACACGCAAAGGCTAACTACGCGGTAGCAGCAAACTGAACTTATCGCAATTTACAAAAGATAAGACAGCTCGATAATTGCAACGTAAGCTACACTAAATATAATATATCGAAGTTTAATAACACCGCTATTAAGATAAAAGTTATACTTAGCAGTGTTTAATCTAAACATACTAAAAATGTACTTGAATAAGTAATGCTTTTCGGGAATACCTGTTGGGCTACTTGGATACTACTGCCCAGTAATCCAAGGGCCTTTTTCATCTAAACACATTTTTCTTTAATTAATTAATCAATTAATTATTCTGTGTACAGTGGACAAACCTGCGACCGATACCACCACAACAGGTGTATCCTTGAGATTCTTTGCCATAAGTATTGTAGCCAGATCATTCTCGCAGAGGGTAAAGGTGTGGTCTCCATTATCTCTGATTATCTGTACTGGACCTGGTAATATTGGGAGTGAGCAGGGACAAAAGAAAATCGCGATTATTTTGGCCAAAAATTGCGGTACCGCGACAAGCCAAACAGATGACATATAAAATTTGTCGCAAAGAATGTGAATAATCGCGATCCCGCACATGCCGCGATTTCCTTTTGTCCCTGGGAGTGAGTAGTTTCTGTCAAGTTGAGCAACAATTGTAGAAGTGTTAAGATGGCTGAGCGCTGAGCAGGTAATGTTTATAATATACAAATTATTATTATCACAGGATAAGTGGTACATTCTTTCATCACGTTTGATTATAAAATATTATATATATATATATATTATATAATATTCGTGTATGTGTGACATATTAACATAAAATAATAACGTGATGGAACTATAACACCTGATTCTAATGACTGTAGTTAAAATAGGTAGTTTTTTAGCAATCAATATATTTTATAGCTAATTGTTTTTTAAATAAGTGTGATTAGATATAGAGGTTCTTATTAACGAATACTACCTTTATATTACATTACTATTTTTACTCAATAACTTCATTCACAAACAAAACTCCAGCCTAGTTAAACCAGAAAACTTATCCTATCCCTATCCATTTGAATCCAAAAAATATATAACTCATTACCTCAAAATTCTATTAAAACCTCAACAAAACTTTGATCATAACCTACTACACTTCAATTCTATTATATGGAAAACCTGGGACACGAAGCACAATAAAATGGGGCATATATTGTTACAATATGATATAGGGATTCTTAAGAGAAGATGCGTTTGGGCTAATGTCCAGATAAATTAGAGTTTGATTACCTAATATGCTAAAGAAATATTTATACTTCTGGTAAGTTAAGTGCAGTGGTAGATCGGTGTTCCCTGCATAATATAATGTGTATATTGCACTGGGGACCAGATAATTGGGGTTTAAGTTCAAGTATAAAACATGACTGCATAATATCCTAGAAATTATAAACTTTTCGAACTTTACATACCATTTGTATCAATCACTTCAAAGGTGTCGGACTCTGAGCTGTCATTGTTTAACTCTTCTGCCATTTCTAAATCAAAATTACTGTTAAATACTATTAAATTCATATCAATCATTATATATATTGTGGCTAAAAAAGCCATTTATAAATAGTCAATCCACTTGGAAGTATGAATAGGTTTTTTAAATATAATTAAATTGTATTCAATGATAGATTATTAATGTTTGTGGGGGAATGTTGAAATATTTGTTCATTATATAGTGTGAAGAGATCAAACAAGTTAAACATTTAATATAATTAATTAAAGTTAATAATTCAACTAATTAATTATTTAATTAAAATTTAACAAGTTAAATGAGTCAGCTCTTTTCAAAGTTCTGTTAAAAAAAGGTAGGTACATTCTTACGATGGATATTCATTTTCAACTCTGATAACTTGCATGGCAATATCAGAATAAAACATAAGATTTTTGTCATAATAAGCTCAGGCCTTGAATGATCTCCATGTCTCTGATTGGCAAAATAGGTATCGAAGTTTCATGTTTTATCTTTTTGCTTCTTAATTTTTAATCTTTTTTTGGATGACTTTGACTGATTGCTGCTCTTCTTTCGTTTAAGTTCAAAATTCTTTTCATTTTTACTGTCTTGATTGGCTTGGAGAGACTCTTCTTTGTTTGAAACAGATTTGTCATGTGCCTGAGCTGTCATACATCTTTTTGATGAAAAGTTTTGTACACGACTGGTTTGACTTAAATTGTTTTTCCTTGTGTTAAATTGTAGAGAATGAGAAACCATGTTTCTAACAAATCGCTTGTTCGGTACTTTGTCTTCAGGTTTACGTAACCATGCAGCTGATCCTAACTCCTTCTCCATACCTTGCATACGTCGAACTTCAGCTAAAATAGCTTCGGCTGCTTCCTCATCAAGTGTTTTCGCTACAGCCATGGTACTACAAATTTTGATAATTCAAATGATGATGAATAATACCATTACATAAATAAAGTCAATTTGACATCCCTACAATGTAACTCGCATGAATCTACTTCTTATCATATAATTAAGGGCACATGTTATAATATTTCAAAAGGAAGCATATTCAAAATGATACGTATGAAATAGTTTATCAACTTGCTTGATTCTGCTTAAAAAATTGACATATTTTGTCGAACAAAATTGAATGGGGAAATCGCTTAAGATCAAAATCTTCTCAAGCTATTTTAGTTTTCAAAATGCGACAACATACACAAGTTACCTGAGACAAAAAATGAACAAAAATTAAAGTATAAAACAATATAATAAATAAAATTATTCAAACAATATACACATAATATAGCAATGACCCTATATAAAATCTACCCTTTAAGAATTAAAAAAGTTTCCTAATCAATCAAAAATTACCCTTGGCCTTGTGGCTCCAAGTTAAGATCTAGACTGTTCATATCAACAATGTTTTTCTCGCACCTCTGTCTCCACGGAGAGAAATCACTGTTGTTCTTAGGATTTCAAAGCGAAGGCGCTTTTTAATGTATCCTACAGCATCCGAGTACCTCTGGTACTCGGTATAAAACAATTCACAAAATCATGATTAGGTATTGAAAGTGCAATTAGGCAGAAGTGCGAGAAAGAACTTTGTTAATATAGATAGTCTAGATTTGAACTTAGAACCACAAGGCCAAGGGTAATTTTCAAATGTTTCCTCCGATATTTTTATATAGATTCATTATTTTAGGCGCACGGCCTAAAATGGGCTTCATGTCGAGTGAGGAAGTTGACCATTGTTAATGATCTGGCCCGGCGCGCGCTACTTCGTAGCTCTTGCCATTTCGTAGCTTTTGCCATTTCGTAGCTTTTGCCATTTCGTAGCTCTTGCCATTTCGAGAAGAAAGCGGCGCGCGCTACTTCGAAGAAATTTAGACGAGTAACATCCGTCAAGTGAGGAAGCTTAACCATTTTTGAAGGATTTTGTGCTTGAATGACGATGTCAACCCTTCCAGATCGTTGTTCTGCTAAGCAAAGCAACGATCTTGTCTTCGATGCAAAGCAAGAATGCTAGTTTGCGCGGCGCGTCGAAGCGGCGAAGTCCTCCAATTTAGTGCTAGAGCCAAGTACTGTTGTGGTGATAAAAGTGTTGAGTGACTCAGGATGAATTGCATTTTGATTTATCAAGTCAGCATAATCTTTCATGAAAACTTTTTTATTTTCTTTTACTGTTTTGTGGTTATCACATATTAGAGTAAAATTTTATTTATTCATATCATTACTGTCCAAATTTAAAATTTTCTTTTTGTGATTTTTTTAGTTTTTGAAAGATTGTTTAGATTTTTGAAAGATTGAAGCTAGTGTAGTTAATTTAGTAAAGCTAAAAGTAAATACTTTTTAAGGTATATCAAAGTAATTTGAACAATTTCTTGTTTAATTTTCATGGTCAAAACACGTCAACCAAATACAATCAGGTGCAGCCTCACAGTACTCCTCCACCTCAGGAAGTGATATTTGAGAGGATTGACGCAGAGACTGTCAAGAGGGCTTGTTTATATTTGGATGGATCAGGCGGCCCAACACTAACGGACTCAGATTTGTGGAAGCATATCATCTGCAGCAAATCATTTGGCAAAGCATCAGTGACACTTGCTGAGTCTATAGCAATTGTTGCAAGGCGCCTTTGTAGAGAAGATATCCATCATAGCTGTCTGAAAGAGTTCACTGCATGCAGATTAATCCCTCTTGATAAAGGCCAGGATAAGAACGGGAAACCTGGTGTAAGACCAATTGGAATCGGCGAGATATTGCGCAGAATCATTGGAAAAGCAGTTATAATGTCTTTCAAAACTGATATACAATATGCTGCTGGCCCACTGCAGACCTGTGCAGGGCTCAAATCAGGAATAGAGGCTTCCATTCATGCAATGAGACAGATCTGGGAAGACAGTGACACTGAAGCAATACTACAGGTTGACGCTGATAATGCGTTCAATCGTCTTAATAGAGAAGCAGCCCTTCACAATGTTCATGAGATCTGTCCTCCGCTCTATCAGTATCTAAAGAACCACTACCAAAAGCCAGCAGACCTGATCATTAATACTACCGAGGACCACTACCAACTTAAGTCTGAGGAAGGTTCAACTCAGGGAGATGTAGCAGCAATGGCATTCTATGCGTTAGGGATCAAGCCTCTAGTAGATGACCTAGCCACAGCCTCCAAGCCCAGTGTTTGCAAACAGTCTTGGTATGCAGACGACAGTAGTGCTGGTGGAAAGATTGAAGGTATTAAGATATGGTGGGATACGCTGTTGGAGCAAGGACCAAAGTATGGATATTACCCAAAAGCCAGTAAGACCGTCCTGATTGTGAAGAATAGCGAGGACCTAGATCTTGCGCAGAAAGTATTCTCAGGCACTGGTATTAGAATTGAGTCTGAAGGAGAACGCCATTTGGGTGCAGCAATTGGCAGCGAAGCTTTTAAGAACAAATATGTCTCAGATAAAGTCCATAAATGGTGTCAGGACATCAAGCTGTTGTCATCAATTGCTGTTGAGGAGCCCCAAGCTGCTTTGACTGCATATACTAAGGGAATTTGTCACCGGTGGACGTTCATTCAGAGGACCATCCCGGGTATAAGTCACTTGTTTCAACCATTGGAGGATTGCATCAGAACAGATTTTATTCCAGCAATCTTCGGTAAGAACGTATCAGACTTGGACCGCTCCATATTTGCATTGCCAGTCAGACATGGTGGCCTAGGTATCTCCAACCCAGTTGAAAACTGCAATAGAGAATTCACAGCCTCAGTCACCATCACAAAAGACCTCACAGACCTGATTATCAACCAGCAAAACACCCTTGAACATTACAACATGTCAATTCAAAATGTCATTATAAAAAGTCTCAAGGCAATCAAGGAGAAACACTTATTTACGGTTAGCAAATCAATAGAGGACAGTGTAAGAGATCCCAACCTAAAGAGATCTCTCCAGTTCATCAAAGAGAAAGGTTCAGGATGTTGGCTTACTGCACTTCCATTGAAGAGATTTGGCTACTCCCTGAACAAGATTGAGTTCCGTGATGCTCTGTACTTGCGTTATGGTTGGGAGATCCCTAACACCCCATTTCACTGTGCTTGTGGAGAGAGAAATAATGTGAATCACACACTTATATGCAAGAAAGGTGGCTATGTTTCTATGAGACACAACAACATCCGCGATCTAAATGCAGAGCTGCAGCGTGAAGTATGCAGAGATGTAGTGACTGAGCCAGCATTGATACCCCTTGATAATGAAGAAATTGTTGGTACCAATGCTGATAGAGCTGCACCTGATGTATCCTCACGAGGTCTCTGGAGCACATTTGAACGAACATTCTTTGATGTCTGTGTTACCCACCCCAACTCACCCACATATGTCAAAAAAGATATGGAACAGATCTATAAAGCTCATGAAATGAGGAAAATGAAAAAGTACAACAACAGAATCATCCAGGTGGAAAAAGGCACCTTTACCCCACTTATATACTCAACAAATGGCGGATGGGGTCCACAAGCCACAAGATACCACAAGAGACTCGCTGAAAAACTATCCCAGAAGAGAGGAGAAGACTATGCGGCTATTATGTGTTACATGCGCACCAGGATTAGATTCTCAATCCTCAGGAGCACCCTGATAGCGGTCAGGGGTGAGAGAGGGAGACGGCAATCGTATACATTGCCAGTCAGTGTAACTTCGTTTAACTTGATACCTGCCACCATGGACTATGAATGTTTCTAGACACTATCCTTTTGATATTGAGATATTGGTATCTCAGATCACGTGTACATCGTTCCTTTTTTTATGACACAGTAATTTATTGACACTCACAGCTATAATTCTAATCATTGAATCAGTATTTTTATCTATTAACTTATTACATATTTGTGCTCTGCTTTAGCATCACTTGACTATTAAAGTTCAGGCCATGACCTTATAGTCAGCCAATTGGCCATTGCTATATTATGTGTATATTGTTTGAATATTCTTCTCCATTTAAATCAAAAAAAAAAAATCATCAGGTGCAGCTATGCAGAATCAAGCAAGTTATAAA